CCCACATTACCTTTTGACATGTTGTAATAAATACAAGAGCTTTAATATCAATTTTCTTAGCAGAATTATTTCCTGTGTGGCTGCACAGCGCTCCTGATTCTTTTTAGCCCCTCACGTGGGGGTGCCATGACTGTACTAAGTTGCTTCTCCTTTTTAGTTAACACAAAACGATATCTTACCTCTCCTTTTGCATCATGCTCTTGACCATCTTTCCAAGTGAGATTACCAGAGCAAACGGGTATAAATATTTTTAATGTTCTCATTACAAGTTGCCAAACTACATTCTTGAAAGGTCACCTCACCATTCACCTCCTCCTGCCAGAGTGTGTCAGTTCCGCCATGTTCTCATCAGCACTGTACATTATCACCTTAAGTATTCTGGCTAATGTAACAGGTGGCAATGACTTGTCAGTGTTAGGACTTACAGTTTTCTTATATCTACAAGGAGGGCCATTCTTCCTTGTTCTTGCCAAATACTTGTGTTTCTCTTTTGCAAGAGAACTCTCTCCAGTGTATTCATGGCGTCCAGCCTCCCCCTCCTGTTTTAGAGGGAAGCGGTAACTGGTTTCGTTTCTTTCCTTCCTCCCATCCATCCATTCATCGAGTATTTCCTCAGCTCCTGTTCTATGCCAGGCATTACACCAGGCTCTGGGGATGCACTGGAGAGAAGACCAAGAATGGCTCTTGACCACAGCATGTAGTTGGGAAGGGGAACATCTGCTAGCCAAAGTGGCTCATACTTGGAAAGCCGAGAATGTTTTGGTAAAGCATTAAATGAATATTCATGAGGAGCCAATTTGGAAGAACTTTGGATTACCTGGGCCTCAGGATCACACATCAGGATCCAATGGAAAACAAGCCTAAAGAGCTTATGTATGAACACAGCTGCATTGTAGGGACAGATAGATAATGCTTTCTTACAAAAGCTACCTTCTAAGGAGCTGTCACTGGGCTCAGAGAAGGTGTATGGGCTGGGGGTGGGAGCAAAGCGTTTTGGTCTGTGAGCCAGGCAGCCTGGGGCGGGTGCAGCACATCCCGGAATGTTGCGGACATGGAAGCGGCATGAAAGCTCTATCTGCTTGGAAGTCAAACAAAGAAGGCCAAGAGATAGCAGGGACAGAAATGCGTTGAGCACTTCCAGTTCCAGCTGGGGTTGTGCCTCCTCCTCCTCTCTCAGAGGACAAGGTCAGCCACGAAGCACCACACTGCAGCACTGCCTTGAGTGTAGAGCTGCCACCTGGCCACTGTGAGGCGAGCGGCTTTGTTCCACCACACACTTCCCACCATGATGTTCAGCCTCACCACGGGACCCAAAGCAACAGCGCCAACTGGCACGGACTGGTACCTCTGCAACCGTAAGCCAAAGCAACCCTCTCCTCGTCAGTTGATTATCTCAGGTAACAGAAAGCCAACTAATACAACCACTGTCTAAGTCAAGAGAAAGAAATGAAAGGAAATACCTCCCATAGCTAGCCACAAGCCTCATTTCTCCCTGTCCCCACCCCACCTTCTTTCCTGTGCCTAGAGGTAGTCATTGTGGTAGGCGTACACCTTGCCATAGATTTGCCTTCTTAAAAATATCATAGAGATGAAACTGTTGGGCCGGGTCTTTTGCACTTTACGGCTCACTACCACGATTTGTAAGATTCACCTATAGAGCAGGATGCAGGTAGTTGCTCATTTTAAGAGACATATTGTATTTTATTACATAAATATCTTCATCTTTATTCTCCATTCTGTTGAAGATTTGAGCTGTTTTCAGCTTGTGAGGTACACTGTTACACACACTGTTGTACTTATCCCTTGGCCTGTGTTCTGATTAGATTGTTATTTCATTACTGGATTATAACTGTTTGCATATATTCTAGATACTAGTGCTTTGTTAGATTTGTGTTTTACAAATATTTTCCCAGTCTGTTGTCTATCTTTTCATTTTCTTAGCGGTGTCATGTGGACAGTAAAAGTTCTGAATTTTGATGAGGACCATTTTATCAATGTTTCATAAATCCTTATATTTATATATCTCTGACAAGTGCCACTCACTGAAGACGGTCTGGTCAATACATGGCCTGTGACAGTTAAATAGCCACATGTGAAAGGGTGAGCACAGAGCGAGGTGCGGGGGTGCAGCTTGGAACCCTGCGCTCTGAGAGGCTGACAGACAGTGAAAGTGTGAGCCCTGGCTGGGCAACTCAGTGACTTAGGGGGACCAAAAGAAAAAAAAAAGGCGGGGTGTAACTCAGTGAGAAGGACCTCACTTCTAGTCTCAGTTCCAGGGGGATTAAAAACAAAGATCAACTTAGACTCTCACTTATACTATACACGAAAATTAACGTAAAATGGCCCACAGACTTAAACTTCAACAATAACGCCTTTAGAAGAAAACAGAGAGATTTTTAAGATCCTGGGTTAGAAGAAGTTTCTTTTTCATGTATTCTTGAATCCTTGCTCTGATTAAACACAATGTGCATGCGTATGCACTTGTGTACACTGTGTAGATGATGTAGGTAGACCTAGACATGGCTGCTTTCAGTCAAAATGAGAAAATATTTCCCTGGATTGGTTACGGGCTGCAGATTAAGATGCGGGGGGGGGGGGAATCTCCAAGAGAAAGCTGAATCTTAATCTGTGAGTGTAAAAGATGCTCACATAAAATTCTCATAGCCTACTGCATTTAGCATGCACTAGAGGAACTATGCCTGAAGCATCTACCAACATGGATGCATCGATACCAAGCACTAAATACAAAGCCTTACTTAGGGAGGCACTTGCTTCCGCAGAGTCCCTGGATTGCACCTAAACTTGTTAGCAAGTGATTCCTGATTACACGGTCTCTTTCTCTCTCTCTCCCTTTTTTTTTTTTTTTTTTTTTGGCAGAACTGGGGATTGAACTCAGGCCCTTGCGCTTGCCAGGGAAGCGCTTATTCTGCTGAGCCATCTCCCTGGCCTTACATGGCCTCTTTCGCCCCATAAGAGAGCTCATGGGAACCCTGGACTAGAGCTCCCTGTGAGTCGCCAAGTGACCTTCTCCCTCCCAGCCTGTGTCTCATCATGGAATTGGGGACTCTTCTGTGAAAGCCAAAATCTTTGCGAAATTCCAGTTTCCTTTTTCAGAATGAAACTTGTTTCCAAGACATATTGCCTGGGACAGTGAAATTATTTTATTGCTTACTGGCATTTTAATATCTTCACATTGTTTTCAGGTACACCTTGTTATTTACACATTTATCTTTCCCTCATAGGAAAATAAACATGTTTTATTGTTTTTTAATCCCTTTTCTGAGTGGTTTTTAAATCAGTAGGTCCCTGCTTTATAGCATCTGATAAGCCTCTTAGGACATAATAAACACTAGATATATTTTTGTTGGAATGAAGTAAATATTAATTTTAATACTGTAGTTTAAAGTTCCATTTGATTAGACTCGAGGTCCAACGCCAGATTAATACACCACTGAATACATCAAATTGCTAAAATAACATTCTAGGAAAGACATGTAGGTTTGTCACCAATGCAGTGAAGGCTGATCTTTCAAGGTCAAGAGCTGAATGCCAACTGTTTTCTTTCTCGAATACCCAGTGACATGATGTTCTCCTACTTATTCTAAGGGGAAATGTTCTCTCCTCTTAGGTCATGGGTCTACCTGTGTCTCCTGCACAGACTAGAAGTCAGACCTTTTTATTCCAGACTGAGGGCTGAGTGTGGGCACATACACAGCAAGAAGTGCTCCAGGTACGATTAGCTTTAACATCTTTGTATTGTTCCTGACATATTCTAATAATCATTCCCATCAAAAAGTACAGAAACAGAAAGGGCTGGCCAGATAGCTCAGTGGACTAAAGCACCTGCTTAGGCAGAGCCCAGTGACTGGGGTTCAATCCCCACTCCTGGGCACGCTGAGGCTGCAACTGAGACTGGGCATGGTGGTGCACACCTGTAATCCCAGAGCTTGGGAGGCTGAAAACAGGAGGATCACTATGAGTCCAATCTGTGCAGTGAGACCCTGTAGACCCTGTATTAATACATAAAAAAAGTGCAGAAACAATGTACTGGCTCATTGCAAGTTCACACGGATTTGAGAGGAGAGTCTAAGCATGTAGAAAGCCTTCCTTCTAATTTCTTGTGGCTGGGTGAACACTGGAGAAACACACGTGCTGTGAAGTTTAGCACAGCACAAAAAACCAAAGAAATTCACAAACTCTTTTAAAATGCTGTACCTTCCTTCTTGCCTATAGTCTGAATGCATTGTTTCTGAGTAACTTCCTCCAGTGCTGTCTGGAAAACTCCCTCCAGGGATCTTTCCGGTTACCTCTCCCAGCCTATAGCAACCTGGAGCCATGCAGGTCCCGCTCGGAGTCCTATCTTGACCTCATGGCCTGGGCCGGTGTTCTCCACTGCCAGAAGCCTTGGGCTAGTAGCTAATCTGCTTATTCACTGTTGGATGTGCTGCTCTGACCATCCCACCCTGCCACTGTAACTTCTCAGGTGCCAGCATTTTATCTGTTATTCATAACCAACCCCTCTCTTGTACACTAGAAATGAGACCCTGGAGTCTTCCACTGTGATCCACAGCCTTTGTGCTGTATTCCGCTTGGTACACCACTCTCCACAATGTTCTGCGTGTTTATGTAGAGACTTGTCTGGAACGCTAGTCTTCATAGTGTGTTCTAGGTACACGGCACCTGACAGTTGTGACATCTGGATTTTCACTGATTGAATATTATCAGACACCCCTAGTGTCACATCTATGCTTGAGCTCAATTTCCTACCCGACATCAATTCCTTTCTCCATCCTCTAGCACTGGAGGGACTGCCGGAACATGAGTCCTGGTCATACAGCTTGACCTATCTAAATGCTGATCTCTAATTCTAATACTCAAGTAACTCAAGTAATACCTTCATTTAAAAAAATATTTCTATTCAAACTGGCCAACACTAAGGTTAAGATTACTTCACTAAATATATATCGCTGGTTGGAATGCCAAAAGAGAATACCCCATACCTGTCTGAGTGAATCCTGCTTTGTATCCATTAGTTGTCCCATTTTCGGGGGTGACGGTTGATACTGAAGAGTTCGGTTTAATAGAGTGGCAAGTAGTAGAGGATTGTCGGCTTCTACATTCTGAAAAGGAGTGAAAGCTAGATTATATGAAGCACCGCTCTTTGGTACACATAGGTGACAAGAACGCAAACTGCTCCTGCCTAAGCGGTAGCTGTTACTGTAACAGAGATCCTCAGCCCCTAATTCTGACACCGAGGAGATGTTCATCCTCACGCATAGCTGTTGTGTGTGGGAGGAAAAGCACAATCAGACTCTAGGAACCCACAGACTAGTTCCTGGGGGACACCACTCCCAACCAGTGTAGTGAAGTGAGTTAACCTTCTGCCTAAGATTTACAGGGTTTAAAAGCAGAGCAGTAACCTAGGTCTTCCAGGCTACCTTTGACCTTTCCTATTCAACCTTAACTTATGTCCAAACAGAGAAGTGAAGAGAAATGTCCAGACAGAGGGAAATAAGACTCAAATTATTATTCTAAGTGCTTAATAAAGGAACATGGACAATATTCAAAGTAATTACTGATTAGGTACTTGCAAGCTTCATTTTAAGGGTCTTGCTCTGTAGTTCAGGCTGGCCTCACACTTCTGGTGATCCTCCTGCCTCGGCCTCCTGAGGCCTAAGATCCCAGGCACGCACCACCATGCCCAGCTACACTTCATATTAAGTATCTAACACCAGTGGGACTCTGGTAGGACACTGTCACAGTGCTTTGCACCGATTCAGATGGGTGGCAAATACTGTGACAGCCTGTTAGACTGTAAGTGCCAAACAATTACTGTATGGTAGTTTTAGAAATAGACACAGTTGCATACGACAAAGCTTTAGAGGGCTTCCAAGTTGATGGGTACACAAAGGGCAAAGGCTGATTTCTCAAGCATCTGTGCTATGACCTTCTATAAAAAGGTACTGTACTTTGGCCAACACTATGTGTATTATATACAATATGTATAATACATATATATTTTGCATATATGCATTTGCATTTATGTATTTTTATTATATATTTTACATGTGCATATAAACATATACAAGTCCAGTTCTAAATTTCTACTGCTATAAAAATGAAACTTCCTTAACAAATGCTATTCTCCAATAGAAACATGAATTCTCATTGAGCACTGAATAAATATATCTTTTTTTTTTAAATTTTTTTT